AGTGCACAGGGAGGCTCACAGCGCACAAGGCCCCTGGCAGAGCCACCCTTCTGCCCGCTTCTCCCAGGCAGCCCCGCACTTGGGCAGGGGAGAGGGGGAGTTTTCCTTCCCCTAGACGCTGGCTAGCACTTTGTTCACCACTTGGCTCTTGTTGGATTCTAAAGGACCTCAGGAAAATGGAAATGGAGGAGGTGGGCTTAGGCACCCAAATCCCCACCCAAATCCCACTGTGTTTCCTCCCAGGGCACAGGCAGAGGCAACTTTTTTCAATTCTCTCCTTGAGAAGGAGCTGGTTTACCTGGGCAGAAATCCTGCAGGCTGAACCCCAGGGCCCAGGCTGCTCCGGTTGCGTCAAAGTCACCAGGGGGACTTTTGAAATGCAAATATCTGGGTGTCTGTTCTTTGACATTTTGATTTTGTGGCTCCAGGTGAGGCAGGGTGGATTGTTATGATGATTTTTCAATCTCCCTCAAGCAGTTCTGATGGGGCTTAGCCCTCTCCCGACAAGAAGTCGATTTTTAACTGGACCCATTTAAGCTGGATCCTGGGGTCTGTCCTTTGGTTGGGACACCAGGTTCCATCATTACACCTGCTGAGCTCATGTTCTCTAATAATAAAAAAGGAAACATCATTCTATTTCTCCACTTGGTTGTTCAAAATACATGTATTGAGCATCTGTAGTTAAAGATCATCAAATATCAGAATGATGATGACAGCTCCAGGGTTTGTTTGCCAGTGGGATTTTTCAGGAGGCGGAGCAGCGGGGAGTGACCTCATCCTGCAGAATGGGCGGGGCAGTGACGAGGCTCAGGTTCGCTTTAACCACGTGTGCTCTGCACACAGACCACTGCTGTGTGTCTGCGTCTGTGTGTGTGTGTGTGTGTGTGTGTGTGTGTGTGTGTGGCTGGTTGGGGGCGTGGGCAATGCTCAGCACATAGACACTGGCTTTGTGGGCTGTGCTCCCAGATCTGATCATTCTTAAATCTGAGAGGAGAGCTGCTGGGCACAGGCGTCGGAAATTTAGCACAGGCAGGTGAACGGCTGGGAGGATGCTGCTGGCATTAGGGCTTCTCAAGACTGAGGTCCGGCCGGGTGTGGTGGCTCAAGCCTGTAATCCCAGCACTTTGGGAGGCCGAGACGGGTGGATCACGAGGTCAGGAGATCGAGACCATCCTGGCTAACACGGTGAAACCCCATCTCTACTAAAAAAAATACAAAAAACTAGCCAGGCGAGGTGGCGGGCGCCTGTAGTCCCAGCTACTCGGGAGGCTGAGGCAGGAGAATGGCGTAAACCCGGGAGGCAGAGCTTGCAGTGGGCTGAGATCCGGCCACTGCACCCCAGCCTGGGCGACAGAGCGAGACTCCGTCTGAAAAAAAAGACTGAGGTCCATGCGTGCTCTTAGAGTGCCCTTTCCAGATCTGGTCTCTGCTGACTTTCTGGCTCCATCTCCCATCCTCCCAGCCACAGCCAGTGAGGCATGTTCCCGGCTGCCAGGTCCTCCGCCTCCTGGACACTGCTGGGTTTTTGGACCTTGCAGTCCCCTGTCAGGACCTGCTTCCTCTGTCTGTAGCTGGCTCACTCCCGGGCATCCTTTCCAGCGCCCTCTGCCACAGGAACCTCCCCACCTGTCACCTCCTGTGCTGCCCCCAGGGCAAGTCCGTGGGTTTCCACAGCACCCCCTGCACTCAAGTCCCCTCGCGGAGCGCGGAGTGCCGCTCCTCCCCCTCACTGGATTCATCCTGTCCTTAGGAGTGAGGCAGCGGGGGCCTCCATCAAGAGAGGGGGTTCCTGGGGGGACCTGTGGATGCCTCAGGCTCAGAGACTCCAGAGTAAGGCTACTCCACCTGGTGTAGGTGTGCTCAGGTGTCCCGTGACCTCCACCAGCTCCCTGCCAGCATCTGCTTTAGAGAGCCCCTGTGATGACGGGTGTGCTCTATGTCCACGCTGCTCAGTCTGCCCAGTAAAGGAGTCATCAGCCTAAACTGCGACTGGGAGAACCGAATTGTTAACTCTGTTTAGTTACAGTTAATCTGAAGGTAACCGGTCCCACCTGGTCAGGGGCTACTTATGGGCTGTAGGAAACCCCGCAAGACTCAGGGACCAGCCAGGGCTGCAGAACCCCAGGGAAGCCACTCAGGTGAGCAACAGAAAGGAGGCAGGAGGGAGGCAGGAAGGGAAGGCGGCCTTCCCAGCTCACGGGGCGTGTGTGTGGGCGTCAGGGGGTGGGGGCAGGTTCTGCCAAGGTTCATGGTCCCCACAGGCTCCTTGTCAGGGACAACCCACGCCTGACAGTGCTATGGTGCATTTTTGGGTACGTGCTGAAAATAGAAGTAACCTAATAAGGTAAAAGCACACTTTTTACTCTTATAATTTTGCCTGGAGATCAGCTACAGGAGGAAAGCCTGTGGCTGCCTTTACTAAAGCTGTAATTGAAAAGTCTGCCCCGTGAGGAACACTGAGCCTGGAGGGTTTGTCCACAGCCCACTCCACCCTCCCTGAGACTGGCTGGGACCTGCGGTGCTGGAGCAGGGGCAGCAGCTGGGCAAGGCTGGAAGCTCCAGTCCAGTGGGGAAACAGGCAAGAAAACCATGGACTCGGCATCTGATGCCTAGTGGGTCCTTTATGATGTCATGGGGTCCCTGGGGCATGTGCTAGGGGACTGAGGAGACAGGAGACCCATGGACTCAGCACCTAGCATGCAGGGGTGCTTTATGATGTCATGGGGTCCCTGGGGCACGTGCTAGGGGATGAAGGAGGGTCAGTTCTGTGAATGCAGAAGAGAGGATGTGCAGATCATAGGACAGAAGTATGAAGGGCTCAGTACTGGACGGAGCTGGGCTAGAGGCTGAGTTTGAAGACCTCTGAGATGCTTTCTGCAGCAGAGGTTTATGAGGACTGCCACTTGGGCCCCAGGAGCAGCAGGGTGCAGACTGGGCTAGTCAGTCATGACTGGCAGAGCTTAGGGAACTGCAAAGGGCTCGGGGAACTGAATCAGGAGACTACACAGAGGGGCTGGCTGTGGGCCTGGGCTCTACACTGCCCTGTAACATAATGGACCTCAATAACCATGGCCACTTACTGCCTGCAATCTCTGTGCAAGGCCATTCTGTGTACTGAGTCATTTTATTTTCACCGGGGACAGCGGCATTATTCTCCTTTCTTCAGAAACAAAAGAATTGAAACTCCTGATCCAGCTCCTGGACAGCCAGGTTGGAAAACCACAGCACAGTGCGATCAAACCCCGAGTGCCCCACAAAACCGCCCCTCAGGCCACATCAGGGTGCCTCTCCCCCCCAGACTCCCAGAGGCACATCCAACTAAAACCTCTCACAGATAAGACTGACTCAGAAGGTGGAAACTGATCAGTCAGGCACTCGCCACATCTCCAGACATACCAGAAAGTGCCATTCAGTGCCCAGAACAGGCAGAGGGGCTGAGAAGCCACAGGGCTGGGTGACTGGGAGGGTAGAATCAGACCATCGGGATGTGACCGGGGACAGGGGTCAGCCTCGGCAGAAGGGGATCTCACAGCCACAGCTGACCCAGAAGATGTGGGTGTGCGAGTTGCTCTTTGGGAGGAGGAAGTACCTGGGGAGGGGGACACACCTGGAAGCCACAGCAACCCCGAGTTGCAGGATTTCCTGACCAGCCCATCCATGGGCTGCATCCTCAATACCCTGAGATTGCATGAAAATGTGGGAGTGGATTCATTCTTCTGAAACAACATCCACGGCCTTCTCAGAGTCTCCATCTGGCCGGCGACCCCATAAGTAAAGGACCCTGCTCATGTAGCTCCTGCACCTGTGGGTTTTCTCCACCCCAGCTCGTGTCTCTCTGCCCTACCCACCTCCTGCAGGTCCCTCCACATCGCCCTTCTCTCATTCCCTTAAAGTTGCTCTTGTGTCTCCCTGCAGGGAGTGGCCCAGGAGTCTTGCCGAGGTTCTCAATGTCTTCTACCTGCTGTCTTGTCTCTTTGCTAAAAGAAGGCAGCTTTGCCTCCTTTCCATGTTCCCATCCGGACAAATAAGCATGGATGTTTTGAAAAGAACTCAATGGCTTCAAGCAACAGGAACGATGGCGCCCGGAGGCCAATCCTCCATTCCTCACTCATGCCACAGCCGGTCCCTATGTCCAGCACGTGGACGTGTAGCACAGCCAGGGGACACTGTGAGCAGGAGGAAGCAGCCCATCTTCAGGGAGCTGAGGCTCATCCCCCAGCAAGAATAGGTCCACCACCAAGGGCCAGGTGCCCCAGGTCTGCCAAAAGCATGGTGACCCGGGTGTGGGTGCAGAGTGTGTGAAGTCATGGCACCTCATTCTTTCTCCAAGTCATCTGAAAAGGTGGTAACACACAGGGCCCTGTGCTGGATGCAGAGTGGGCCTGAACACTCCCAGGCAGTCCCCAGATTCTCTTTTCCTTATTTCTCCGCTGCCGTTCCCCACCCAGCCTGTTGAACCAGGGCTGTGCATTGGTATTCATTTACACCAGGACGGAGCCAGGCAAGGAGTGGTCTCCCCGGGGAACTGACAATGGTATTAAAAGCAACATCACTTCCCCATTGATTGACTGGTACCTTTGTCCCTCTGGGGTAGGCAGCATCACAGTGCCAACCAAACACAGACTGACTGCAAACCACAGCCCCAGGAAGCCTGCCCTCCACCACTGTCTTGTAAAATTCATCGTTTTGCTTCTGCATTCCCAGCTCCCTGTATTCAGCTCTCAATTACAAGTACACAGGAGTCAGATGAGATAGGGTTAGAAATCGGGCTTTGCTATTAACAAGCCGTGTGACCCCAGGAAAGACAGCTAAACCCTCTCACTGTGAACGCTTGATTTAAAGATGCAGATAGTCACGCTCGCTTCTCAAAAGAGACACAACAGATCTAAAACCAGCTTATGTGTCACATAGTCTCAAAAGTGTGTTCTGTAGGTAGAACAAAGTTCTTTCCGGTCCTGGTCAGGGATGACATCTAGTTAAGAGTCTCGAGAAACAGTGGCTTAAACCAAGTGGGGCTTTTATTATCATTTAAGGAGAAACACAACTTGCTACCTCTGGTTCTACAGCCCAAACATCGTAGAGCCAAGGTCCTGAATTTTTCTGAGTCTTTTCCTCAGGGTTAACAAATGACTGCTGCGGCTCCAGGGGTCACACCCGTGTTCCCAGCAGATAGAAGGAGAAACCACAGGGAAGACCTTCCATCTATGTGAAGAAATCCAGTCTTTCAAGAAGCCCCAGAAGATGTCTTTGAACATCTCCTTAGATAGAATTACGTTGTTTGCCATTCCTGCAAGAGAAGTTGCAGAGTATGTTTTTTGCTGGACACATGTTGTCCCTGGGGGGAAAAAAAAATCAAGGTTATTTTACCTAGAAAGAAGAGAGAAGCCGGGTGCGATGGTTCACGCCTGTAATCCCAGCGCTGCGGGAGGCCGAGGCGGGCGGATCACGAGGTCAGGAAATCGAGACCCCCGTCTCTACTAAAAATACAAAAAAGTAGCGGGGCGAGGTGGCAGCGCCTGTAGTCCCAACTACTCAGGAGGCTGAGGCAGGAGAATGGCGTGAACCTGGGAGGAGGAGCTTGCAGTGGGCCGAGATCGCGTCACTGCACTCCAGACTCCAGACTGGGAGAGAGAGCAAGACTCTGTCTCAAAAAAAAAAAAAAAAAAGAAAAGAGAAAAGAAAGAAGAGAGAATAGACAAAGGGTTTGCGACTACCAGTGTCTACCATAGAGGGTGAAAGGTGTGGTGGGTACGCGAATGGGGGTCTTTAATGGCCAAATCCACCAGGGAAATGCTGGCTAAATCCAATGAGGCAAGCGTCTTTGGTCCTACACACACCAGGAGCCTCCGGCAGGGCCACCACAGGCAGCACTGCCCAGCTCACACTGACCTGGAGTGGTTTTTGAGAACACTGTGTGATCCTGTCCTGCAGGAGGGCTCGCTTGGGAAGACATCGGCTGAGCACACATTTCAACACACAGGTGAGCGAGTGGTCCCTCAGCGTCCACCTCTGTGTGGAAAGAGCCTCATGGGCAGAGTGGGCTTCCCGTCACCAGCCCCTGAAACAGTACCTAGCAGGGAGGCACTCAAGAATGCCCAGGAGATGAGGGTCCAGTTAGGCAACTATTCCATTAACCACCAGAGCTTCTGCTGTTTCTGATCTCAGACCCCAGATGCATTTGGGGACTGAGGGAGCAGGCGATGTGGGTGGGTTCCACCCCGCAGAGAGGACTCCTGTGCAGTGTCATGCACGCCCAACCCTCTGCCTGTACCTCAGGAGTGACAGGTAGGCCCGGAGACAGCACCTCCCCGCTCTGAGTGCAGCACTGTGGATGGCTGTAAAGCCCCAGCTGTCCTCGACAGATCCCAGTGCCTCCTGACCCGCAGGCTGCACCGTCTTTGTGAGTTACGTGCTTTCCCGATGCTGCTGTGCGCTCACCTTGAGGCAGGATCAAGCAATCTTGCCAGAGTCTTCGTTTGTTTGAGTTTGGTTTTGCTCTTTGGCTGATAGAAACAGTAAATATAAATGCACTTGCCCTGTGCTGTGGGCCCTCGAGATGTGCTGGGTTCGGTCTCCTGCAAAGAGGATTTCAAACCAGTTATGAGAAAGGAGCCGGCTCTCAGAGCCACCACCAGCTCCCTGTTGACATGCGCTCCTCCCGCCCCCACCCTGTGTCCTGAGCAGGTGACAGAACAAGCAGGACAGCACAGGAGGCTCATGGTCCTTGGTAGGAACCTTGTTATTCTCTGAGCTGTTGGTTTGCGCACCTGCTCCAAGATGCAGTTTCTGGTTTCCTGGGCAGTTCTCAGAGGCCTTGCTGCCTGCAAGAAGTCCCTGACAGAGCTCCCCCAGCCCCTGCCCCCATGCTTGGACATGGCTCCCACCAGCAAGGAGGCTTCACTGTGAGGGAAACCAAAGCAGGGCGTGGTTAAGTCCTTGGTCTTCCCAGGTACCGTGAACATGCTCTGGACACACTGTGGAACGAGGCCATCTATCTCCCTCATTTGGAAGCTCTGTGACCACACACAGCTGCTGCAGCTCCAGCCGGCCCGGCCTGTGCCTCTGCCAGGGAATGTGCTTGTCTGTATCCCTGCAGCCATGTTGAACGCGGTCCAGTGGCAGACTCCCCCTGCCTCTGCGGTGCTTGGCGAGTGGACGGTTTCCAGGTGAACGCACAGCGAAGGCAGCCCCCGTGCCCGGTGCAGGGTGGAGGCATCCCAGGCAGGACTTTGCCAACATCTGTGGCAGCCACTTCAGAGTTCCAGCTGCTACTGAAGATGACTTGGCAAAGGTCAGAGAGTGAGACTCCTGGGGCTACGAGACCCTTTCTATGGGTGGCCTGAGGCTCATACAGGCAAAGAGATGACCTGGGTGAAGCCACGTTTTTGTTTTTCTTTTGCAGGTCTGGGGCTCCAAAGCAAGCTGCATAACAAGTTTCCTCATTCCAGGCCCTGCCAGTGGCAGCCAGGACCATGTCCCGGTAGACACGCGTCCAGTATGGAAACAAATCAACTTAGACATAGTGGAGTGTCAGGTCGATTGCTAAGATGCTTGTCAAAAATCCAGGACATCGGCTTTACAGGTGGACACCACTGTCCCGCGTGGGAAGCCTGGTCCCACTCAGACCCTGCTCACCCTGCTACCAACCCAGCTGCCATCTTCCTCAGACGCCAGCAGAGAGAGCAGAAGGGCCCTCCGCTCCCAACACATAGGCCCGATTGAATCTTCAGGACAGAAGAGCACGCCCAAGGTGGGGTCTGACCTACCCAAGCTCACACAACTGCGGGTCCTGAACCCCCAAACTCTGATGAGATGCAGGCTGCTTCTTGCCCACACAGTAGGTAAGATGCTCGGACAGCCTCCTGCCTCCCCAGAAACTCACTCTGGGTTGGAAGTTTCAGGTTGGCAACGCCGTGGCAGTCAGCCTGCAGTGAAAACAGCCAGGTTGCTGTAAGCTGGGGCCCCTGCTGACGACAGAGTTGGAGGCTGACTGTAGACTGAGGCCTGCAGAACCGTTCAGCAACTCCAGCGGAGGGAATTGGTGCAAGGCGACCATGTGGCGAGGGCCTTCGTCACGGGGCCGGTGTGCAGGCACAGGGCAGGAGTGTGCATCGTGGCACTGGGCACCTGACCCTCCTGGGGCAGACTGGTTCTGTGGAGCATGCGCTGAGTAGGTGCTCAGGCCCCTCTCACCCCTCCCTCTCACTCCCACTCCTGGCTCAGCCTGCCTCTGGCCTCTTTGTTTTTTTCTTTTGTTTTTGAGACAGAGTCTCGCTCTGTCACCCAGGCTGGAGTGTAGTGGCGTGATCTCGGCTCACTGCAAGCTCCGCCTCCCAGGTTCACGCCATTTTCCTGCCTCAGTCTCCCAATTAGCTGGGACTACAGGTGCCTGCCGCCACACCTGGTTAATTTTTTTGTATTTTTAGTGGAGACGGGGTTTCACCGTGTTAGCCAGGATGGTCTCGATCTCCTGACCTCGTGATCCATCCGCCTCGGCCTCTCAAAGTGCTGGGATTACAGGCGTGAGCCACCGCGCCCGGTGTGCCCCTGGCCTCTTAATGGCAACTGTCTGGTCCTCATGGGCTCCTGGCTGACACTGCGCAGGGGTGTCCTCAGCTCCCACAGTGGCCAGGATAGAGACACACACCTGTGCAAAGTGTCTAAGATGCATCTCAGGGACCATGAGCGCCCCAGATGAAGGGCCTGGTTCAGCCTGATGTCTTTGTGCCCTGGTCACCAGGCACCATAGCTCCTGGGCCTTAACTCACCACAAAGATGCCCAGAGGATGAATGTGGCTCCTGGGGAGGTTTCAGGGACCTCAACTGCTGCCCCACTTCCTTCCGGCTTCTTCCAGTCCAGGCCACCAGGGCCAGAGGTAGCTGGGGCGAGAACGGCGACCTACACACACCTCCGAACCCTCAGCTGTTGCTCTGTGCTCGCTGCTAGCCTGCGCCTCTGAGAGGTGGCTCTGCCCAGTCCTGGGGCCTGGCCATCAGCTGCCCCTCCCACTCTGCAGGAATGACTGGCCCTGGGCTCCACGGTCCGGTCCTTGTTATTCTCTGAGCTGTTGGTTTTCATGCCTGCTCCAGGATGGAGCTTATCCTTTGCTGGTCAGCTTATCCTTTCCTGGAGGCCCAACTGCCTGGTGCCATGAAAAGGGGGATTACTGTCAAAATACGAGAATGGCTGAAACCTGTTCCCAGGAGGCTGGAAGTCTAAGAGGAGCCCTCCACCCCACGGGCGCGAGCTGCTGTCCTGGGGTTTGAAGGACCATCTAGGAGCCCTCGCGGACTGACCTCCAGGAAGACCAGATGGGATCTTGCTCCACACGCTTACTCTTGGTGCCTGTGGGTCACTTGGTTCATTTCTTTAGGCTTTATTTCCCTTATCTGTGCAATGAGATTGGTGATGCTGCATTTAATGGAGATGGTGACGATAACAGGAGTAAAACACATTAAAGAGCCTGGCCATGATAAATGGTCATCGAATGTGAGTTATCGTCCCCGTCAGATGAGAACCGGGCAGCAGGACTCCAGCCCTCTTCAGTGATCCCGAGAGCCACAGAGAAGAGAGGGGCTGGGGGACCCAGGCAGACTGAGAGCTGTGAGGGAGGGTCCCCTGAGACCCCGGGCAGAGGAGAGGACACCGGTTATCCAGAAGGAGAAAGAACACAGTCATTTTAAACCAGCACTCACATGCAGAGGAGATCACCAGCCAGTTCAAACCTCCCTCCTGCCTCAGCCCCAGCCTCCAAATTCCTCTCTGTGTATACCCCACACTACCAGTTCCCCGGGTCTTCTGTGCACGTGTGAGCACACACAAATGTACCATCACACGCAGGCTTCCCTTTGTATCTCAAAAACCACGCCATCACACACGGACTTCCCCCTGTAACTCAGACGCTGGCCTGGTCACGTGCACGTTGGTCTGCACCTCACTCTTGCGGTTAGAATTTTTTGGGGATTTTTTCCTTCTCAGTAAATATGGTGCTCTTTTTTAAAACATTAATGACTACATAGCATTTTATTGTAGGGCTATATTGTAATTTGTGTAACCAGTCTCCCCCCCATGCACATTTATTTATTTTTTCCAATTTTTGCTGTCATAAACTGCTGCAATGAACATCACAGATCATATATTATTTGGCACAAGTATTAGAATGTTTGGGGAATAAATTCCTAGAATCAGAATTGCTGAGTCAAAGGTTAGACACCTTAGTAATTTTGAAAGAATTGCCAAATTGTCATTCAAACTGGCCATAAAACTTTACACTTTCTATTGTAATTTATAAGAGTAACTGTTTACCAATACCAGAGCCAGCTTAGTGAGATGTCTGTGCTAGTTTTTGTTTCTTTTTTTTTTTTTTAAGTCAGTACCAATCTGATTAGTTTAAAACAATATGTTATTGGGGTTTTAATTTTTATGGTTCTTGATAGACAACTGTGAAATTTTATTTGTTTAAATGGCCCTTATATTTCCTCTTTTCATGAAATCTTTATGCATATTTTTTAGCTTTATACATTTTTTAAATGATTTGATAACTATCTTTACATTTTAAGAAAATTATTCCTCATGTTTTATCAATATTGATATATAGACATTTATCATGCATACCTGTATTTCAGAGTTTAATTTTTCTCCATTGGCTTTCTTTAGGTTATGTTGTCGACAGTCTACTTAAAATTTTAGTAGAATTTAATGTTTTGAAATCTGGTTTTAATGTTAGTCTCTGGGGAGACTCTCCCTTATGCTACAAATATTTCCAAAACTGTCTCTGCTTTCTTTTCTTGCTTGTATTAGGCCAAATCACTCAGGAGTGGACTATGATCCAGAGGTCCAGGCAAGGGAGTGCAGTCATTGAGGCGTGAATTTGTGACTCACTGCTGGAGCCTGAGGTGCCGAGTGCACAGGGGAGGAGTGGGCAGGGGTGTGGTCTCCGGAGAAGTGGAGGCTCTGCCTGCTCTCAGGGCACTTGGGGTGTGAGTTGTGCCACGTTCCGTGCAGCCCAGCAGCAAAGGGGCGCGCTTCTTTCCCACCTCTATATGCCACGGGCCACAGGCCCTGCCAGGTCCCCTGGGTCCCTGCAGTCAAGGGGAACCCTCAGGGAAAACCCCAGCCTAGGAAAGGGCGTTGGGCAGGTCACCAGCAGTCTCTGCTTCAGGACCTCTGTGTTTTTCCCTTCCCTTCCCTTCCCTTCCCTTCCCTTCCCTTCCCTTCCCTTCCCTTCCCTCCCCTCCCCTCCCCTCCCCTCCCTCCCCTCCCCTTCCCTTCCCCTCCCCTCCCCTCCCTTCCCCTCCCTTCCTTTCCCCTCCCTTCCCTTCCTCTCCCCTCCCTTCCCTTCCCTCAATCCATTGAGATTTATGTTGTTGTGAGTAGTAAGGTAAAAATCCAATATCACTATTATTTTACAAACAGCTACACTGTCTCTCAACACATTTATTGAATTTTCCGTCTCCCCCACCCCCATTTTGAAATGATGCTTTTAGTGCAGGCTAAGTTCCTCTATGCACTTGGGCCTATTTCCACAGCTTCCATTTGATCTGATCGATTGATCAGTTTATATTCCAATACCACACTGCTTTCATTAGCATAGCTATGTGTGACAATACTTGGTAAGTAGTGCAAATTCCCATTCCATACTCTTTTCATAACATCTCTCTCGGATATTGTAAACCCAACATAAAATTCTAAGGCCCCCCAGCCATCTGAATGGACTTCCTCCGTAGCGGGGACACGCTATAGTTCCACCTAAAAGACAGGTTCAGCCCATGATGGGAAGTGGCGGTTGGACATGCCTCATTATAGCCCTCCAGCATTAACATCAACACAGACCTCACGTCTGATAAGAAACACTTAACAATCTGTTCCCTCTGAAGTCTGATAACCGGAGGCTTCATCTGCATGACAGAACTTCGGTCTCCAAGGCCTCTTATTGTAACCCATTCCTTTCTACAGATAATAACTATTTCAACCAATTGCCAATCAGAAAATTTTTAAATCTACCTGAGACCCGGAAGCCCCCTCCCCACCCCCTGCTTCAAGTTTTCCCACCTTTCTGGACCAGGCCAACGTACATCTTAAGTGTATTTGATGGATGTCTCATGCCTCCCTAAGCTGTATAAAAACCGAGCTGCATCCAGACCACCCTGGGCCCATGTTCTCAGGGTCTCCTGAGGGCTGTGTCACGGGCCGTGGTCACTCATATTCGGCTCAGAATAAACCTCTTTAAACATTTTACACAGTTTAACTCTTTGTTGACAATACTCTTGCTGGTTTGCACGTGCTGTTCAGCTTGAGAATCTCTCTCTCACACACACTGGAGGTTTAAATAAATATACACACATAACTGGGATCCTGTACATTATTCAGACCCACGTGCATTCACACATCACTTAGGGAAGCGTTGGCTTCTGGATGTGGGCAGCCTGCCTCTCCAGGACCATGGTGGGACTTTGCATTTGTTCAGAGATCTCGGCATGAATTCCTGAGTCCTGTTCAATAATCTTCACATAATATTGGGCATTGCTATTTTGGTTTATTCTTACACAGTTTTATAAACTCTATGTTCCTAATGCATATATAGAATATTTTCTCTCATCTTATCTTCCTGTACCGTTTAAATACAATTTTTTGGCTCCTCGGAATGATATATTATAAATGTTGGTAATAAAATCAGTGCCCATACACTCACCCCTTAGGAAACAGAACACGCTGGAGTGCCAATTCGCGCACACACTGCACCCCACTAAGGCGCCACCTGATCTGGTTTTGCTTTCCCGTTCTCTTCTTTTCCTTTATTATTTTACCAAATTGGTATCTCTCCCAAAGCAATGGATTGCTTAGTCTTTCTTGTTCGTGAGCTTTATCCAGATCGTACCAGTGTTTCTGCAATCGTCTGTGATTTGTGGTTGTCACTCAGCCGTGAAGGTCGAAGAGCCCTCCATGGAGATGGCCGTGGCCGTGGTTTACTCAGTGTCCTTGTGACATGGAATAAAATCACAGAGTCTTTTGATCATGGCCCATTCACTCGCTTCCCTGTTGACATTTGGGCCGGTTCCAAGTCTTCTGCTACCAGCAATGCTGCTGTGAATATTCTGTGCCCGGTTCCTGCTGTGTCCATCTACATTTCTGTGTTTTGATTATTTCTTGTTTTTCTGTTGTTCTGGGGTATATAATGAGACATAGTTTTGCTGGGTCATAGGTGATGAACACCTTTAGCTTTTATAAAATGAAACCTAATTATTTCGTACTACCAAAGTGTTTAGAGAAAGCAATAGTTAAGCAATTCCAGTGTTTCATCTGTTTGTCTACAAATCTTTAAAAATTGTGTCAATCTTTTTGGCTTGAGATACATATTTTATTTTTAATTCTTATTTTCCTGATTATTAATCAGATGCATTATTTATGCATTGATTGGTCTTTTAATTTTCACTTCAGTGAAAAGCTTCTTGATCCATGTTGCCTGTTGGGTGTGTTTTAAACTATTAATTATTAAGAAGTTATTTTTGTTTTATATTTTAAATTTCAATTCTCTATCAGTCACAAGAATTGCAGATATGTTTTGTCAGTTGAATTTACCATTTTTGTGGTGAATTTTGATGAAAAGAAGTTCTTTTATGGTTTGTACTGTTATTTATTTCAAAAACCTTTCCAAAGCATTTTCTGATATTTTTTTCTAAAATGTTTAAATTTTTTCATTTGCATTTCAGTGGTTAAGTCACCTGTGTACTTGGATCGAGGCAGGGATCTGATCTACTTTTTCCTGTAGTTATTGGTTGAATTAGCACAATTTGTTGACGGTGTACCCTTCACCCAGTAATGTGTAAAATCTGCTCTGTTATGTGTCAAATAGCCACAGGTCCTGCAGGTTCAAATATGTGTCTGTTGCTTCCATATTGATAGAGGTTAGCTGGATATTAAATTCTTAGTCTTGCTCTCTTTCTTTGAGGGGTTTGTTTTGGTTTTGTTGAATATTACAGTTGAGAAATCTTAGGCAAATGGATTTCTTAACCTTCATAGATGACTTAATCTTTTAGCATGCCTTTTCATAACTTGTTTATTTAAAAATTCAATGACCTTTATTTATTATGGTGTGTTTCAACAAGCAGTTGTTTGCTACCAATTTTTTTTTTTCACTTTTTCCTGGTCTATGGGGTGCTCATTTAATATGTAGATAAAATAATTCTTTAGTTTCTAGAATAACATTTTTAGTTATTTCTTTAAACATGTTTGCTAGGATATTATATGGATTTCCTTCGTTGAGGAACACCAATTATTTGTATGTTGAAGCTTCATGTCCATGATTTTCTCTCTGTTTCTCAACTCCTTGGTTTTTCCATTTTGTTTTTCCTTCTCTCCGTGTCCCTGGTGGTTTTTGGGGTATTGCACATTCATTTAATTAGTGGTTGCACATTTGATTTTCCTCTGTGCTGATTCCTAGTCTATCATGGAGGGTAGAGTGTGAGCCACCCTGACCTTGGCAGCCCCCACATGGATGGTGATTCCTTTTAATGACAGGGACAGTCGATGAGCAACAATGTAAATTCTGTACCTTCCCTCCCCAGTGGTGACCATTTTAATTCATTTTTGATTTATGTTTCATGTGTTTCATGTGTTTCTCCATTTTTTCATTTAAATAAAAAGAGAAATATTCTTAGAGCTCTGTTCTGTTCATTGTTTCTTTTCTTTCCTTCCCTCCCTCCCTCCCTCCTTCCTTCCTTCCTTCCTTCCTTCCTTCCTTCCTTCCTTCCTTCCTTCCTTCCTTCCTTCCTTCCTTCCTTCTTTCGTTCCTTCCTTCGTTCCTTCCTTCCCTCCTTCCTTCCCTCTCTCTCTTTCTTTCTTTCTTTTTGAGATGGAGTCTCACTCTGTCACCCAGACTAGAGTGCAGTGGCGCCATCTCGGCTCACTGCAAGCTCCGCCTCCCGGGTTCAGGCCGTTCTCTTGCCTCAGCCTCCCAAGTAGCTGGGATTACAGGTTCCCTCCACCACCCCGGCTAATTTTTTGTGTTTTTAGTAGATACGGGGTTTCACCGTGTTAACCAGGATAGTCTCGATCTCCTGACCTTGAGATCCACCCACCTTGGCCTCCCAAAGTGCTGGGATTACAGGTGTGAGCCACCGCACCCAGCCGAGAGACAATACTTTCAAATAATTTTATTCTAACAGGGAGCAGAGAAATGAATCAGTAACTGGAGGGAGGATGAGACAGGAAACTATTTTTTTATTATTAGATAAGTGGTTTTAGAACACATTGTTGTGCGTATGAAAATGATTTAGAGGCCGGGCGTGGTGGGTCACGCCTGTAATCCTAGCACTCTGGGAAGCCGAGGTGGGTAGATCATCTGAGGACAGGAGTTCGAGAACAGCCTGGCCAACATGGTGAAACCCTGTCTCTACCAAAAATACAAAAATTAGCCAGGTGTGGTGGCATATGCCTGTAATCCCAGCTACTCGGGAGGCTGAGACAAGAGAATCGCTTGAAGGCATACTGGGAGGCGGAGGTTGCAGTGAGCCAAGATTGCACTGCTGCACTCCAGCCTAGGCGACAGGGTAAGACTTTGTCTCAAAAAAAAAAAAAAAAAAAAAGGAAAAGAAAAGAAAAGGATCCAGAGGAAAAGGGAAGACTACTAATGCTGGAGCGAGATGACACCATGGAAACAAAGTCCTTGGAAGGTGATTAGGGTCAGGATTTGGTGCAAGGGGGATGGGGGCGTGCAGACAGTCATGTAGAGTAGCTACCAAAATGGACAGCAGGGCACCGGGCCACAGAGGCAGGCAGGCGCATGACCTCCTGGTGGTGGGGAGAAGGTCTCTTACAATTGGTTCTGTTTTTGTTTTTGTGTGTTTGAAATAAGGAACGAGGCCCTAAGAGGGGGTGAGGTGTTCAGATAATACTGGGCATTTTAGGAAAAGTAAGTTACGGAGGGGTTGGCTGTCAGACTAGGGGGTGGCTGGACTGGGCTGGCTGGCCCCGAGGCAGAGCCCAGCCTCCAGCTGCTGCAGAGATTTCCCGGGACCGGAGTCTGGGGGGTGCGGAGAGTGGCCGTCAAGTCGAGGATCATGAACGTAGACCTAAGTAGTACCCTCCAGCCCAGCCACTCATTGTCATCAGCACGTCCAACTGCCAGCGCCAGCCTGGGGAAGGCGGAGTGAGATTCAGCAATGGTGAGTTTGCTTCCTCATTACAGGAAAGAAGGGGAGAGACGAGCAGAGGGTTGGAAGCTTTAGTCAAGGGAACCATTCTGGTGTTAAACTCCAAGTCCAACCAGACCTGAAAGGGAGGAGATGAAGCATAAGAAACAGGGAAATGCAGTATCCCCTGCTCTTCTTGGTGAGGTTTTAATGTGCTCTGAATTTAAAAAAAAATTTTTTTCTTCAGCGTCTGAGCTTTGACCGCCCATATTTCTTCTCCATCTCTGAACAGGGCATCTCTACGTGCAATAGTTTGCTCGCTCTCTCTCTTTTTGTGTTCTGTTTTGTTTGTTTGTTTTATAAAGGAATCATTTTGTTTATTGTTGTTTTTCTTGTGTTCATGGTATTGTGGTTAGTTAACATTTTTAACCGCTTTGTGCAAATGTTTTTTGGTAAATATTTATAGCTTACCACTTCTTTTCACTACTCTTTACTCATTTAATTTTTCTGTGTATACATAAATCAGATGATTCTTCCTTTTTTATTTCTCTCTCTATAGATATATAAAGTATATATGTATATATATACATATATATATTTTTTTCTTTCTTTATTTCTTTTTTCTTGAGACAGGGTCTTACTTTGTTACCCAGGCTGGAGTGCAGTGGTGGGATTAATAGCTTACTGCAGCTTCGAACTCCTAGGCTCAAGCGATTCTCCCACCTCATCTTCCCAAGTAGCTGGGACTACAGGTGTGCACCGCTGTGCTTAGCTAATTTATTTTTTTAGTTTTTGTATAGCTAAGTCTTGGGTACGTTGGCCAGGCTGTTCTCGAACTCCTGGCCTCAAGGGATCCTCCCACCTCAGCCTCCCAAAGTGCTGGAATTACAGACCTGAGCCACCACACCTGGCCTATTTCTCATCTTTAATAAGTATGTTTTCTTGGAAGGGTGAAGGAGGGTCAGAGCCATGTTCCAAGCTAGCAGGAAATCTCCCTGGCGATAATCACTTTGCTTATGAGACAGGCTGTGTGTGTGGGCAATTGTTTCTCAGGCTTTTCTTCTCCCTACTCTCATTTCTCTAGAAATTTCCCCTTTTTCTTCCCCTCGTTCCCTCTAACACAACTGTCTGAAATGTGGTCTGAAGGGTGACTGCTGGTCAGGGTACCTTCCTCCTGAGTCCTTAAGGCCAAACTGAGGCTGAGGAGGCTCAAGCTATGAGACCAGGCACTTTTCTGGAAATGATTGATGTGGCCTTCAAGCTATGTGGTCCATTTTTTAAAAAAAAAACCTTTAAACTTTTAGGATAGCTTCAGATTTGCCGAAAAGTTGCATCCTTTCGTTTTTAAGAGTCCCAGCAGGTATAAAAGCTCAATTATCATTGTTTTTAATTATATTTAAAAGAGCATCATGATGATGTAATCACCCTGGCCTGAGCATTTACTTATTAGATTTCCAATCTTGATTAGGATTTCTCACATACCTGTAATTCATTCGTTTTGACTGTTGCAGGGTATTTCATTGTGGTACTATAGGTGCAGTCTACTCACCTACACTCCTAGAAATGGGCATTATACTGTCTCCAGGTTTCGCTGTCCTAAGGGCATTTGCAGGAAGCTTGTGTGCACATCTCCCATAGGTGTGCAAGAGTTTGGCTTGGCTGTGTAGAAGCAGAATTAGAGGGTCAGAGAGCATGTAAATGTTCACCTTCAGAAGCTAACACCAAATATTTACACGAATCATTGTAGCAATGAACCCTCCCATCAGCGTTATGTGTATAAAAAGTCCTCTCTATTCACATCTTCCAATTATGTTATTTTAGACTTTAAAAAAAATGCGTCTGTCTAATATGTGTAGGATGGTGCCT